ACCGACTCTCTCCGTCTCTCTGTTCTTTTCTTTTTCTGATCGGTGGAAGACGCTGAAAGCCCACTTCAAGACCATAAAATTAGGGTTTGGTCTCAGATAAAAGCAGACATCAGCGCCTCACTTACCTTCTGCACACTGCACCTCCCAATCAAAAGCATATTCAAAATCTCTCTTTCATAATTTATTTTTGTAATTCTTTCACGTAAAATTGCAATTGTTCGCGATTGTGATCGTGCTTAGTTTATGCGGGATGCGAACATTCAAGCAGAAAAGGAGCTGAAAAAAATGGCGGACAAAGAGGAGGTAGCACGAGGTCCGATTTTCAGAGACATCAGAAGATATTACTACAAGTACTGTGGAATATGCCGATCTAAGAAAATCATAATTGCTCGTCAAAAGCATCAGAAATCCGCCGCGAGAAGCTGCGATTGGGTCCACCTGCACCGCATCGGATAATTTGGGGATGTTTGATGCAATTGGAATGAAATTTATGGTATTTAGAGTGAAATTCATGAGATTTATAAAAAACTCGACGTGTTATTTTCAGTATATGTTCTGTATATGTTCGGTATTCATATACAAACCCAGAAAATGATATATGTTCAGTATACATATGTTCGGTATATGTTCGGTATACTTATATAAACCCTAATATATATATATATAAACATCATGTCGGAAAAACCCAGAAAATATACTACATATATACATATACCAGTTTCAAAACGAAGATAATACTTAATTTTTTTCGGATATGTTTGTAATCGTGTATATTATGTATATTATATCTTTTGTAATTATGAGGAAAGATTTTTGTAATTAGCGTGATTATAGGGAACATTTTAATTTTGGTAACTGATCTTTTTTTACTCAACCCAAATAAATCCATGTTTTAGGTATAGATGCAAATAAAAACACCCACCTTGTAAGAATGTAATAATTTTAATATCGTGTGGTTATCTTAAAATTTCGCCTTAATTGAATAATGCTATAAAGCCCACTTGGGTTACAACTTGGGTTACAACTCAAGTGTAAATGCATTATTTTTTAATTTCTTGATAACCCATTTACACTTGAGTTGTAATCCAAGTTGTAACCCAAGTTGGCTAAATAACATTACTCTAATTAATATGTTTGGATTATATTCTTTCTATATTTAAGAAACAATTACAATTTTAGAAGAAATATTGTAATGCAAATTTCGTATGAAATACAGTTGATTACAAATTTTTATTTTTCATATATAAGAACAATTTTAAGTATTTCAACAATATTTTCTTTGATTTGATTTGAGTTGAATTAACGTAATCGGAAGGCGAACGCCTTAATTTCGCTCAAACGCTGTAATTTTAAAATACGTGATAGATTTTTTATTTTCACCGCAAAGTCGATTTTGGATCTTCTCTTAGTCGGTCTTGACTTCATTAACTTAGTTTAGAAGCTTCACAATTTCTTTTTGAATTGAATGTCAGTCTTGAACTTTAATACGCTCGATTCTTCTTTCGATCTTTAATAACGTCTTCGAATTGTTTGGATCTCTTTATCTTGAATAAGAATTGTGTCTTTTAGCTTAGGGAGAGAGTGTATTGGAAAATAATTTTTTAATTTTCATCTCCTTAATAATTATTTTAAATAGACAACATATAACAATTTTTAATATTTATCTCTTTAATATAATTAACCAAAAAAATAATAATTTATTTTATTAGTAGGAAATTAGCCTTAAAATAAAATAGAAAATGAACATATTAAAATTAATACAAGGTGTTGATATGTAGATTTGTATCCACAGTTAGTCGAAAATTATGTGTGAATTAAGAAAATGAAACAATGAGATAAAAGGGGAATTTTTTGGTAAGTTTTAAATTTTTTATTTTCATTGTTGGAAACTCTGCTTTCGAGGACTCTTCACTGTCTGCTAAGCTGTTTTTATTCAAGGTACTAAGTTCTTGATTCCTATTTCCAACTCGGATGTCAACACAAAGTTTCACTTTCACACTTGTCACGCCATTTGATTGTTCAAAGTTATTTGTGCATGATATTAATTTACTAATTTTCAGTCTACAAAGATATAATCCCTTAATATACAAAAATGCATGCAAATTTTATATATCCTCTTTTTAGCATATAAAAGAGATTATTTAAAATAAGATTTAGATATTTATTTAAAATATAGAAAAGAAAAAACACTAGAAAATAAAAAACGCTAATGTTGTTCCACCTTAACCATTAAACTCCGCGAAAGAAATGCGACTTATAGTATAACCAAAAACGCTGTGCTGTTATTGAATAAAAACAGGCAAGCAAACGAAGCTCTGGGAATTGCAGATCTAACAGTCGCTCCCGATATATACTGATTCACTCTACTGCCCTTGACGGAATCCATTGATCCTGAGCTACATAACTCAAGACAACCCGAAAATCGTTCTCCGGAGCTCCGATCTCCTTGCCTACCGACAGGTAACGATCTACTTCTTCTACCAATGAATTTCGTTCTGGATCTGAAATGTCAATATGGCATTGTCGATCGTTATGAATGTAAGAATTATTAACTGTTTAAATCGAGTTCGATTGCTCAGTGTATTCTTGGATCTTTTCACACGGCGCTTCTGCATGACCCGAGTAATATATTTTTTATGGTACCTTTTGATGTTCGGATTCATTTTTTCACCATCGAATGTGTGTCCATAAACTGGTATCAATTTAGGTTCTGATGGATTTTGAATCTCAGAGGTTGGCTTATTGAGTTGTTTTTCCTTCATTGTATTATTGTATTTCTATCCAGGGATAGTCTTAAGGATCTTAACATGATTGCCTACCATCATTTGGATTTAGATAGCTAAGCGTGTCAATCTAAACTTGTGCATTTGATTATTATGGGACATACTCATGTTGTGAACCAATGCTGTTAACTCAATTTGCATAGATCTTTTGTTTGTGCAATGTCAGGTATTGTTTAACTTTACAAAAATAAATAAGTAAAAATAAGTATTTGGTTACTTTAGTTTTCTTGTTCTATATTGATGAAGTTTTATTTATATTCAGGTATAAGGTGAAAAATGGAAAAATCTTGTTCTCTGCTGGTGCATTTTGACAAGGGCACACCAGCGCTCGCTAATGAAATCAAAGAGGCACTTCAAGGAAATGATGCATCAGCTAAGGTTGATGCTATGAAAAATGCCATCATGCTTTTGCTTAATGGTGAAACCTTGCCTCAGCTGTTCATAACTATAGTTAGATATGTGTTACCATCTGAGGACCATACCATTCAGAAACTGCTATTGCTGTACTTGGAGATCATTGATAAGACTGATGGAAAGGGGCGTGTGTTGCCAGAAATGATCTTAATCTGCCAGAATCTCCGTAATAATCTCCAGCACCCCAATGAATACATCCGTGGTGTCACTCTAAGGTTCCTTTGCCGGCTTAATGAAGTGGAGATAATTGAACCTTTGATCCCCTCCATTATGTCAAACTTGGAACACCGGAACCCTTACGTCAGGAGGAATGCCATTCTTGCTGTGATGTCAATTTACAAGCTCCCACAAGGTGAGCAGCTGTTGGTTGATGCCCCAGAGACTATTGAGAAGTTCCTCTCGACGGAGCAAGACCCATCAACTAAGAGGAACGCCTTTCTGATGCTTTTCAACTGCGCACAGGATCGTGCCATTAATTACCTTTTGACCAATGTTGACAGGGTACCAGATTGGGGTGAACTTATGCAAATGGTTGTATTGGAGCTGATTCGGAAAGTCTGCAGGACAAACAAAGCAGAGAAAGGGAGATATATTAAGATTATTATTTCTTTACTGACTGCTCCCTCAGCAGCTGTTGTTTATGAGTGTGCTGGAACCCTTGTTTCCTTGTCATCTGCTCCCACAGCTATTAAAGCAGCAGCAAATACATACTGCCAACTTCTTCTCTCACAGAGTGACAATAATGTTAAGCTTATTGTGCTTGATCGACTGAATGAACTTAAGACTTCCCACAAGGATATTATGGTTGACTTGATAATGGACATTCTGAGAGCTCTATCAAGCCCTAACCTTGATATTCGAAGGAAAACACTTGATATTGTTCTTGAATTAATCACACCCCGCAATGTCAGTGAGGTGGTGCTTACTTTGAAGAAGGAAGTCGTAAAAACTCAAAGTGGGGAGCTTGAGAAAAATGGGGAATACCGCCAAATGCTCATTCAAGCTATTCATTCGTGTGCTATAAAGTTTCCTGACGTTGCTAGCACAGTGGTCCATTTGTTAATGGATTTCTTGGGAGACAGCAATGTAGCATCTGCTGTAGACGTTGTTGTTTTTGTGAGAGAAATTATTGAAACTAACCCGAAGTTGAGGGTTTCCATCATTACTAGGCTTTTGGATACTTTTTACCAGATCCGAGCAGCAAGGGTTTTTTCTTGTGCTCTTTGGATTATTGGAGAGTATTGTCTATCTCTTTCTGAAGTTGAAAGCGGCATTGCAACCATCAAGCAGTGCCTTGGAGAGTTGCCCTTCTTTTTGGTTTCTGAAGATGAGGATGCTGCGGATTCTTCAAAGAAAGCCCCACAGGCAACTTCTATCACGGTTTCATCTAGAAGACCAGCTATCCTTGCTGATGGAACTTATGCCACTCAAAGTGCTGCCTCAGAAACTGTTTTCTCCTCTCCATCTGTAATGCAGGGATCTTTGACGGTAGAGAATTTGAGATCTCTTCTTCTCACTGGTGACTTTTTCCTTGGGGCAGTTGTTTCATGTACCCTAGCAAAGCTCATTTTAAGATTAGAAGAGGTTCAACCATCAAGGATTGAGGTGAACAAGGCAACCACAAGTGCATTACTGGTGATGGTCTCAATGCTACAGTTAGGACAATCCTCAGTTCTCCCACACCCAATTGATAATGATTCTTATGACAGGATTGTTATCTGTATAAGGTTGTTGTGTAACACAGAGGACACTCTGAGGAAGATCTGGTTAAAGTCTTGCCGTGAGAGTTTTGTTAAGATGCTTTCAGATAAACAACTGCGTGAAACTGAAGAAATTAAAGCTAAAGCTCAGGTTTCTCATTCACAGCCAGATGACCTTATTGACTTCTACCATCTGAAGAGCCGAAAGGTGAAACTGCATTTGCCTCTGTTAGTTTGATGGAATTGGATAGTTGTTTATGAGAATAAGTATCACTCTCATTGCACCTAATCATACAGTTACTCACTTTTCCCCAGATTCTCTCTGTGTACCCACTGAGAAGTGATCTAGGATCGTCCTTCAGTTTCTCATTAATTTGCCTTTTTTTGATCATTTTATTGAGCATTTAAGATTTATCCCAGACAATATTTTTTGCATGTTTTCAGGCCATTTTTCCCCAATATTTTGGATATCTGTGGTCACAATTTTTACACTGTTATCTTAAAATGCCTTTCAGTGAATATTAATGAGAATGAAAATAACTTGACACTTGTTGATGGCATAAATTGTACACGCCCCTGCTGAGGTTTTCTAACATAAACTTAATTTGTAGTGGACCACCAAGTACTGATTGCTCATCATTTCACATTTGTGATCTTTACTTCAGGGCATGAGCCTGCTGGAGCTGGAAGATCAGGTCCAAGATGATCTTAAACGAGCTACTGGGGAATTTGTTAAGGATGCAGAGGATGCAAATAAGTTAAACCGCATCATTCAACTCACAGGGTTCAGTGACCCAGTCTACGCTGAAGCTTATGTAACAGTTCATCATTACGATATTGTCCTGGATGTGACAGTTATAAATAGAACCAAGGAGACTCTTCAGAATTTGTGTTTGGAGTTGGCTACAATGGGTGATCTTAAACTTGTTGAGCGCCCACAGAATTATACTCTAGCACCTGAGTCTAGCAAGCAGATAAAAGCAAATATTAAGGTGTCCTCTACGGAAACTGGAGTCATATTTGGCAACATTGTTTATGAAACATCAAATGTGCTTGATCGGAATGTTGTTGTCCTTAATGATATTCATATCGATATCATGGATTACATCTCTCCTGCCGCATGTAGTGATGCTGCTTTTAGAACCATGTGGGCAGAATTTGAATGGGAGAACAAGGTAATGTTGTTGCTTGTATTTATGTTGCTATTTAGGTTGAAATATTTGAGCATATCCATTATTTTACAACATATTTACTGTTTGGGTGAGTGATATGTATAAATTGCTTGAACTACTGATTATATAGGTTTATGAAGTTCCATGTTTTCTTGGGGTTAGTGTACTAGTGCTCCATATAGAGTAGTTAAATTTTAATCTGGACTATCACCTTTGTAAAGTCTAATATAGGACTTGTCCCCCTACAGCCTTGTAATGATCTTTGATCTTTTCACATGGTTAATGAAGCTAGTGTTTAGTAGTATGCTACTAGTCAGAGTTATTTGTTGTCAATACAAGTCTAAAATTTTGTGGACATTGCCCATTGAGATGTGCCTCTTCCTCCAAAAATTGTTATTTTATGTTGTAATGTGCTCCCTTGTCATCCCGGCATGCATTACTTTCCTGTTTATCTTAAGTTTCATGCTTCTGTTATTTCAGGTTGCCGTCAACACGACAATTACAGATGAGAAAGAATTCCTTGACCACATTATCAAATCAACCAACATGAAATGCCTAACTGCACCGTAAGTCTTTTCACACTCCTTGACAACTAAAACTGCAAACTGCTGTCTGTAAGGAAGCCATTATGCTTTACCGTTCTGGGGTATTGGAGTTGTGTTTCCATCTGTTTTGGTTGTGAAGTACGTTATACCTGTTTTAGTTCCATGGTGTAAGTTTTATACTTACATTCTGAATTTGATACATTTGACTAATGTAGTTGGAATTATAGGCTGGAGAATTATTTGGCCTGCTGAATGTAGTCTGAAAACCTTGTAAATTTGGAGTCAAATAGTTGTTTGCTGGGAACTGCGTAATGATAGATCTGTTTTCAAGCCGGACACTGAAGCCTATTTCTGGCGCTTATGCTGCAGAATTGATAATTTCAGTTGCTTGAAACTGTCTAGGAGATAAATCCCTTTCATTTAATATGGCAGATGGTGGATTCATTCATTTTGTGCGAAATATAAATTGACCCTCGGTTGTTGTTATCTGGTTATAATGCCAGTAAAATCAGTTTAGTTGATTCCCAGCATGTAAGAACATATGTTGAGTTTTATCTAGATATATTGTCCGTTTTATATAAAAATTGGAGAATGCGGGACAATGAAACACATACAAAAGTTTTTTTATATTCCATCCTCGCTCCTTTCATTAACATGAATGGTATATGTTATTGCCCTAATATCTTGCTTGTACGGTTATTTTTCAGATCTGCCTTAGAAGGTGGGTGTGGTTTCTTGGCAGCCAACTTGTATGCCAAAAGTGTATTTGGGGAGGATGCTTTGGTCAATATCAGCGTAGAGAAACAGGCAGATGGCAAACTTAATGGATATATCAGGATAAGGAGTAAGACTCAGGGCATTGCCCTCAGCTTGGGTGACAAGATTACCCTCAAGCAGAAAGGAGGGAGCTGATCTTCTTTGTGGTATATGCGTTATTTTATTCTAGTAAATCTTATTTGTTTATTATACGTGCTCTTGGTTTTTATTCTAATATTATATTATGTTTGGTGCATGAAGTTTCTGTTTATTTTTTAATGTTGCAAATAGCTCTTTATCCCTGAAATGTAGCTTGCACAAAATTTCAGTCAATTTCTTAAAGTTTCTGATAACCCTGAGCTACCACACGAACCTTTTGAGGTTTGTATATGTTACAAACATTGATCATTTTCTTTTTTCCTTTCGACTAAAAAAGCATATTTAGGGAGGTAATTGGGTTATTTTGTGTTTGAGCTAAAACCTCAGTGCAATAGTATTTGTATTGTAGTTATCCATATTTCTTCTCATTCTTGCAATCCTCTTTGGTAAGAAATATTTTAGGTCTTGATGGAACCCTTGGTGCAACATTGTCTTGATTCATATTAGTCTATTTTGTTTAATCAGTCTTTTGGTTTTGCAGGATTTGATGGCTTTTGTTCAGGTCAGGCTGAAAACTGGTCTGCGACTATAAGGAGTTGTATCGAGAGCATATAATAGTCTTGTTTTGGCACATCTTCTTTTCTGTTTTCAATTTGTGTTACAAAGAAAAAAAAAATTGAAAGCTGAACTAATTTGGAGGTTATATTTTCGGTGGAGGTTGGGAAAGAAATACATTGACCATCATTAGGCTTTCAGTCAAACTTTTGAAATAATTGTGAACTCGTTATTTTTTTGGTGGAATGATTGTAATAAAACGTATTGTCCATTGCAAATGGAGCTGGAAGAGTCATTGTTGACAATTCTCTTGGCATAGTGTTAATAATGGACTAGATCAAAATGACTCAATTAAATTCAAGTGCTTCTTCTATTAGTGAAGTTTCTAGAAAGAAAAAATATATCAAACGGCGCAATGCACCTTGGGTCGCTACGGAAACAGCCTCCTTGTATAATTACAAGGGTAAAGTTTGCGTACAACTGACCTGTTAGACTCCAACCTGTTGAGAATATACTGGGTATGTTGTTGTTGTTGTTGATTGTAATAAAAGGTATAAATACTAAATAGTATTGACATAACTGATGAGGGTTTTTATCAATCCAAGACGAGTAGACTTTAATGGTTGTTGATTTGGCTCCCAAACCATACATTAAAAAAAATATAATTTGTGTTTAAAGGGAAAACCAAAGTAGAATATAGTTTTTTATATTACTACATTTTAACATGAAGAAAAAAACTGTATATTCTTTTTAATGTAATATTTTAGTGTAGAAAAAATATTGTCACCTCGAATTTAAACATTTATATAGTGAATAAAATCTACAATCAATTCTTCTTCTCTGTGAGTTTTGAGTTTTGACATCGTGAAATGTCCATTTAACGGGCTTTAGCTTTATAATCAATAGAAGCACAATTCTAGGTTGAAAGGTAAAGCATGATGAAATAAGAATAATAAACATTCAAGTTTATAAGAACAGAAATTAAAATATATTGCCTCTGGGGCACTAGATTACAATGTACAAATTTCTCTTTAATAATTCTCTTTAGTAATGGTATAGATATTTCATACAACTATCTCATTAGAATTATAGAATGTTAAATTCTTTTAAAAAAGGTTATTTTTTCATAGAAAATACTAAATTTTTAAATAAAGTAATAATATTTATTAGAAAACTTTTAATAGGTCTATTTATAGACCTTTTTCTCTTTAGTTATATATATACCAAATTAGCATTTAAGAAAGCTGGTGCAAAACGTATCTAACATAAACCAGCTTGAAAACATCTCAAATGGAAAGGCTAGCACTACAGAGAAAAACAAGATTTAATTATTGATTCACTCAAAGAAACTAGTAAAAAACTATATTTACTACTTCCGGTATTTTTATAGTCATTTTTTTTTTCTTTCAAACTGCATTTTTCGATAGGCTCATGGAACTTCAATTCCAAGACTAATGCTAGAGAATTTTATACCACAGCTCTCAAATCACAACTTCATTGCAAATGCTTTAGGTACAATCCTGAAGTAGAGGACTCGTTACAAACAGACATAATTTGTTGGAACTTATAGCAGAAATCTCATTAAAACTTCACTAGAAATACAAGCAAACGCAATGCAGTACCAAAAACCACATGATAAGAATCAACAACAAAAACCAAACGTCAACCACAACAATGTATCCAGGCATTAGTCAAGTCTCATGTTAGCGTGTAACACTTAACAATTTACTACCATCTATAATATATTGTTAAATTTGTCGGGTCCAGGTAAATAGTACGACCACCAACTTTAAGAACCTGCAAATTAAAAGCATTGTCCAATAGGATCCTCTAGTTACACACATCTCCCCTAGCTTGTTTTGAAACTACACAAAAGAATTCGAGAGAAGAAAAAAAAAATGTTTGCTTCTGTATTTCTGATATCCAAAGAACCATAACAATTAAAACAATTCTATAAATTCATCAAAATGTATCTCAGATAAAATCTGATGTACTTTATCAAGATTTGCCTGAGATTGTCCTTTGTCTCTCTAGCAGCAAAAGAAGCATCTACTAGAGAGAGCTGTAAATGCAATTATATTGACATGTCTTGCACGTGTTAACATCAAATACCACATAAGCTTTGCAGACACATGCAAAAAATAAAAATAGAAACAAAAGAAAAGAACAAAATATGAAAACAAGGGATACAAGATAGGAGAAAGGGAAAATAAGGTATTATATCATATGACTGCAGTGAACATAGTTATCCTGCAACCATCCCATAGGGTAGTCAGAATGAAAGCAAGATATCAAGTCCTTCAAAAGTTTCAGTTCCAAACATTTCAAACGAAAAAGTGACCCGTAAATCAGATTATAAACATCATGGCACACACTTGACATGAATGAAAATGCTGTGGGGCATTATTTCTATGCCAGATGTCCAACTCCAAGTAACATGCATCTTGTTGAACAGTTACAGAAGTCTTTTACCAAACCCATGATGTAAATCATTAAAAAGCTTGCTTAGAAATAGTTTAGAAGGACTCTACCAAGTTAAATGGAGGTAAAGAGACAGAATTCTCAAGTGTAACTCTTGAGCATCATAACATAAACTGAATCAAAAGATTACCAATAACTATTATATAACTCATTTAACAACCAAGGAAGCACAAAGGTAAGCATTCCAGGGTTCAACTATTCAGTGAAGCAAAGCCAGCTTTTACATAACATCCATACCTCAGTTTTCTTCTACCTTTTCATATTCAAAAGCATCAAATGCAAACCTTCAACTCTGTATGATATGTTCAGAGCTACACTTTAATCACAAAGCTCACCACACATTGAACCAGCAGAACAATGTCACAAAGAACCAATTATCCTATACTGCTCTAATCAGTAATCAAGCATCATTTTTAAAATGGAAACAAGAAAACAAAAATATGCACAGAAGAAAGATAGGACAAACACAAATAAGTGCAAGTGATGTAAATCCATAATCATAACAACAAACACAAATAGCATGAAAGCACCGTGAGCAGAGAACTACACTGCTGCAAATATAAGCAACACAGAGCATACGTTACTCTTCCCCATGTCTTCTTTAAACATTCTACAAATATATATAAAGGAACAGATAAGTAAAAGAGGTAAATTTAGTTATCACTTCTTCAAGCTGCCACGAACACCAGGCTTAGGTTTGGAGGTCTCAGCAACATGGCCGGCGTGTAAATTGTTGAGCTTGGACTCGTCGAAAGGGATTTTGGGGTGGCGAGCGTCGTGGTGGATCTGCATGGTCTTGATGTCCGGTGCGGTGATCTTGCAAAGGGGGCATTCGAGCTTGGCGTGGCCGCCCTTTTCCTGGCCGGAGCGATCGGAGAGGCCGGCCTTGCCTCCGCCGCGGTTGGTGGTGGCGGCGTCAACTTTAGCAGCAATCTCCTTGGCCGTATGCTTCTTGGGTTTGGCTTTCCCAGTCATGGCGATATTAGGTCTGAATTGATTGATTGATTGATTTTCCCCCAAACCCAAGTGCGTCGCTGAAGAGACGAAGTGCCCTAGAGGAGATGAGAAGGACAAAGGTATATAAATGTGGACTGGACGGGCTTTTTTGGGCTCTAACTTTAAATGGACAAAAGGCCCAATACATTTGTTTGGTGGGCCTGTTACAATATTAGTAACGACTCAGGCCTGGTGAGTCATGCTCGGGTCGGGCCTGGCTGGCCTATCCGTCTTCTTCATGCCCGTCTCCTCCTCGAGCACACTCTGTCAGCTACATTCATGGTATTGAACCATTTCTCTTCCAGTGTCTGTAACCATTTCTGATCATGAAATCAACTACCCATATGGCTCCGCATTCATGGGCAATCGTTTTCACCCCATTTATTCGCTTAACCCGTAGAAGTTTCTCGAGCTCCACAGCTCTACAAACTGTCGTCAGCAAGCTACCTGCACGCAATCCGATTTACAATTTTCTTCCCGAAACTCAGAATCCTAACAACCTTGTTGCTCTCGTGTGCTCCTCGCTCAAGCACAACGATCATGCCGTTTGGGACCATCTCCGGGAGCAGGGACTGTTCAGTCATTTCACCGTCCATGAGTTCTCGAGGGTTCTGCTGCGATGCCAGTCTGATTCGTCCGCGGCCCTCACTTTCTTCGACTGGGTAAGGTACCAAATGGGTTTTGAACCAGGTGTCCTGAATTGCTGCATTATGGTTCACATTTTAGTGTGGTCTAAAAATTTTAAGCAAGCTATGAAGATGCTGCTGGAATTAGTTCGTTCGAATGAAAATAGAAATGGGAGTATTGAAAGAAAATTGAATTTGTTCCAGAGCTTGCTCTCATGTACCGATGACTGTAACTGGGACCCCGTTGTGTTTGACATGCTCATCAAGGCTTATCTCAGGGTGGGCATGGTTAGAGAGGGCTTTCGAGCATTTAGGAAAATGGTTAGGCTAGGGTTCATTCCAAGCATTGTTACTGTTAATTGTCTTCTGAACGGGCTGTCAAAGATGAATTATGCAGGAAAATGTTGGGAAATTTATGAAGAGATGAGGAAAATTGAGTTATATCCCAACACGTTTACGTTTAACATATTGACTTACGTCTTGTGCAAGGAGGGTAACGTGGATACAGTGAACAAATTCTTGGACAGTATGGAGGAAGAAGGATTCAGCCCGGATATAGTAACATATAATATGCTCATTGATAGGTATTGCAAGAATTGGAGGTTAAAGGATGCAACGTATTTGTATAATATCATGTGTGCAAGAGGTGTCATAGCTGATTTGATCACCTATACGGCTTTGATCAATGGGTTATGTAAGGGAGGTTGTGTGAGAGAGGCTCATATATTGTTCCATCTGATGGTTCGTAAAGGGTTAGTGCCCGATGCTGTTTCGTACAATACCCTAATATATGGATATTGCAAAGAAGGGATGATGCAAGAGGCAAGATACGTATTGTTTGACATGATTGGGAACAGAGTTTGTCCTGATAATTTTACTTGTCAGATGCTGATAAAAGGATATCAAAATATGGATAGAATGATATCTGCACTGAATCTTGTGGTGGAGCTCACGCGGTTTGGTGTTATGATTTCCCGAGACACATATTTTTTCTTGACGCTTGCTTTATGTAAGGACAATAGGCCATTTGCGGCAAAATCCCTCATGGAGCAGATGTCGCGAAATGGTTACGAACCGATTGAGGAGCTGTACAATGAGTTGATTGATTCTCTTTGTAGAAGCAAATTTGTGAAGGACGCATTGGAACTGAAAGTAGAGATGGTGACAAAGGGTTTGAAGCCTAATTTGAGTGCTTATAGAGCTATTATTGGAGGTTTGTGTGAATTAAGCAAAAGCGTAGAGGCTTTGTCCTTGATGCAAGAGATGGTTGAATCTGGTTTGCCATTAGATGTTTATATCTGCAGAGCTTTAGTGAAGGGGCTGGGTAAAGAGAGAAATTTCTTAGAAGCAGAATCACTTCTAAGTTTTTGGGCCATGAAGTTCCAGATTTTTGATGGAGAATGCTACAATGCACTTGTTAGGATTCTCTCTGAGGAAGAAGACCCGTCACAATTAATGGAATTCCAAGATAGGATGGCAAAATCAGGATTTGTTCCAAATAGTCTTACGTGCAAGTATGTAATAAATGGAATGTGGAAAGCAGTGGGAGCACAGAGTCGGGAGCTTCTGGTGGAATAATGTTGCATTTTTTTTCGGGGACTCTTCAATTTTCAATTTTCAATTTTCAAGCACAACAAGTGAGAGCGTAAGTTCATAATTTGCCGGCAAAACTTGTATGAAAATGTGAAAGTAATTACACATGAGATTCTACTCTTGCCAATGTAGGAATCAAAATTTTCTTTCTTCAGAAGTTGGATAGGTATATTCTAGCACTTAAACTCGAACGAAAAGAGCTTACGATTTAAATAGTTAAATGTGAGTTCCATTATTGCCAGATGAGATTTCTAGTAAATCAGCATGCCCCTTCTATTAACTGACATAAGGTTATCTGTTGTTTTTATAATAGCTGTTTTTTTTTTCTTTTTTTTTTTCTATATATATTTTACTTTTTTATATTCTTGAAGCTCAAAGGACATAGCTCCTTACGTCTACAGGAACTACCAATATTGAGCAAAGCTCAGGTTGCTTCCACTGTTGAATCTGCCAAAAGTTTGGTGACCCAAGTTTATAGTCATTGATATCCTGTAAGTTAGATTGTTGTGATTAGGAGAATGAGAATGGATATTCCTTTCGATACAAAACACCCCAATATGAAATATCTTTATGCGATGCTGCACTTTTCTAATTTTTTTCTGCTTCTAGATGGATGGTGTAATTGGAATCTGCTTCTATAATTTGCATTCTGGTAGTTTACCATGATGAGATGTTTGCATCCATTCAGTCTTGAGATGTCAATTGATGATAAAATGGTATTTTTAGTGGTTAGTGACAGTCCACACGCGTCTCAACTTAAAATGTCTCTTATTAAATCTGAATACAGTTAGGTGGTTTGTCACAGTTGTGTGGCAGCCCAAACAATCCCCATAATTATCTCTTACCAAGTACATGAAGCCACCCCCCTCACCTATCCCCAAAAACAATGAAAAAATTAACATGGAAATATGAAATGTACATAAATCAAAATTGAATTATTGGTGGGGCATAGTTGAGTTTTAGAGTTTAACTTAATGGAACTGACACGATTTAGCGGTATGCTAATTGCCATTCATACCTTTAATGTTAGCTGTTGGCTTCTTGAGCTAGTTGATTTGGACTTTGACTTGAAGCTTCAGTTGATGATAGGAGTTTGCAAAAGCAGACTGCTCTGGATTGTTAGTTGATTGTAACTTGTAAGTCTAGATTGCAACTTATCAGACAAGAATCTAATCATCTCAAATTATTGACTGTATCAGGAAAACTTTGAGGCTGTAGCTGGTAAATTCCGAATGACAGAGAAGTCGGTATTTACATTTGGATATTTTTCATGCACCCAACTGAATTTTTGCATTGCAAGTTTACATTTCTGTTTATCTTTTTGTTTTCACAGTCCACTTCTGTGCGTAAAGAATTTTATCAAAACCATGACTTTATGCATTAAGCCTTTCCACACTGGTACACAAAAAGCAGAAAACACAATAAACATTAAAATACACGATCGCCACACAATTCATAGACATTCAGATAACTTTTAATGGTTTTATACACACAGATTTTTTGCCTGCCATCTTCCTCAATTCATTGATAATGCATGTTCTCGTGATAATATCTTCTTCATTTGGTTTCGAGCAGACTCTGGAAAGTGGGCTTATTAGGAGTGTGCTTTGACATGGCAAGCTCAAGTGGCGTCAAAGGAAAAGAAGGGAGATTGATTGTCTGCTCTGGTTCATTAGTCCATCCTTTTGAGAGTATGGAGCTTGCACAACCATCCAAACCAATGTGAGTCACATGCTTCACATCTGTTGGGAATCCGATCTCGATCCCCATATCTGTCTCTTCCAACTCATCTTTGTAAGCTGAAAAGAGGTAAATTCGGAGTCACCTATGTACATACATAGTACGTGTGTGTGTGTGTGTTAATGGAAGGGATACTATGTTTTTATAAAACAAGTAAACGAGAGAAGAGAGAGGGAGAGAGAGAGAGAGGTCTATATATGATTCTATATCGTAGCTGCATTTCAGGTATTGCAATTTAAATTTGATAGCAATTTGATTATGTTCAATTGACCATGTGCATAATAGCAGTTCTGATTCTGATTTCGAGGAATAGAAAGTACAGGATGCATCAAAGTTTTTCCCCACTTTTATTCCAAAATGTTGGTTTTTTGATTGTGGAGTGGCTTACCAAATGACTGAGAGAAGTTCTTGAAATTCTTGAACAGCTTCTGGAACCTGTGAAGTGCCAAATGGCTTAAGGGGCTCTTCAAGTTATCACCCGATAAACTTTCTTCGTCTTCTTCATCATCATGTTCCACTTCTTCTTCCTCCTTTTCTCCTTCACAGAAAGAAAAAAACATAAGGCCACGGGAAAGGTATAAGAAAAGGAAAAAAAAAAAGAGGGGGAAAAACAGAAAATTGTGAGTTGTTATAAGAGAGTGAGTACTACTTGGAGTTAACTTGGTATCCAGATTTGATCTTTTAGCTTGCTGCTGCGCAACTGCAATGCTCGATTCAGATATGCAACCTGCACTAAACGGAAGGAGAACAAATTTTTCCATTCGATCCCTCATGTTCACAGATAGAGAGAGAGAGAGAGAGAGAGAGAGAGAGAGAGAGAGAGATGACGGGCTATGAAGCGGTTTGAGAGAGTGGGTTTTGTTTCAATATATCCTACATGCTTGCTTTCATTCCAAGATAGAATTATGGCCATTATTTTTTAGTCAATGTCCATTAAAGTTTTAATACAGAAACAGGGAGAGATCTAATGTTCTTGGATTTATTGCATTACATACTGTTTAGTTATCTCAATTTGATGAAGATGTGTATCTTGGTTAAAAGTATACCTTTTTTTTTTCCCAGTCTTTCTCTCTCTGTCTGTTAGTTCTTCTAAGTGGTGGGTCTCATCTTTCACCAACCTCTCAAATGTCCTTATAGTTTTTTAATTTGCTTTGTCTTTGGGATCTCCCACCTTTAACATTTGTTCCAAATGAATACACTTTGATTATACTCCACCAAATATGAGTACATAACAAGCATGTTCCTAACTGTTGAGTTTCAAAGAAATCGTTTTAAGTGGCACCTAATTTTGTTACTTGATTTTAAAGGCTATAAAACTGCACACACCATGCATGCGAGAAGTATGAATTTGCAATTGCAAATATCCCAAAATTTCGTTGATACTTCATTTTTTTCCCCTTTTGCCTTTGGTATTTGCCAATACTTCCTTTTTAACATATGGTGTCTTCATTATGTTTCAGGACACAACAGTTCTCTATATTATCAATGGTGAAGAAAATGCA